AGGCGGACGCCTCCACGCCAAGTAGCTCCGAGCAGCAACCGAAAACCACACAATCCACAGTCACCACCAACAGTAGTGGCAGCAGCTCAACGCCAGCCGCTGTGCTGGCCAAGGAAACGGATGAGGACATGCAGATCCAATTCGAGTATGTGCGTGCGCTGCAGCAGCGCATCTCACAGATCAGCACACAGCGACGCAAGAGCTCCAAGGGCGAGGCGCCCAATCTGCAGCAGCCAACTGTGATAGAAACTACCAATGTGCTGCAGGCGCCAGCAGCAGCAGATGCACAAAGGACAGGAGGCGAGTGCGGCACGGCTGTGAGCATGCGACCCAGGAGCAGCAGCTCGGCGAGCAAAGTACCTGAGATACCAACGCTTAATAGCAAGCTGGAGGAGATCAGCAAGGAGCGCACCAAGCAAAAGGATCTCATACACGATCTGGTCATGGATAAGCTGCAGTCCAAGAAACAGCTTAACGCCGAGAAGCGTCTGCATCGTAGCCGACAGCGCAGCCTCTTGACCAGTGGATATGCCAGCGGCTCCAGCTTGAGCCCCACGCCCAAACTTGCCGCCGCCAGCAGCTCCATCGATGCCAACTGCAGCAGCCAGGCGCACTACCATGCCTCGACGGCAGCCGAACAGCTGCCCCGCCGGCCAGGCTATCAAACAAGTGACATATACAAACAGCCAAATGCGCTACAGAAATCTGCAACTGCCACATATGTTTCGCCCTACCGTACAGCGCAGCCAGCGACGCGTAGCTCGGACCTCTACAAATCGCGTCCCTTCAGCGAGCATATAGACGCTGAACAATTAAATCTGCTAGAGCGTCATAAGCTCAGCAAGACGGCCTCGTTCAGCTACGGCAAGATGGATGAATTTACAACGCCCATTGCGCCAGTGCGTCCGCATCGCAACGGTAATCATGGTCAAAGTCAACGACAAATCGAGCAAGCCGCCGAGGTAAGCATCTCGGCCTCCACTGAAAATCTGCGCAGCGAGGCGAGAGCACGTGCACGTCTTAAGTCGAACACTGAACTAGGCCTGAGCCCCGAGGAGAAGATGCAATTGCTGCGCAAGCGTTTACAATATGATCAGAACAGCGCCATCAAGGCAACACAGCAGGAGGCACTCTCTAGCGACCTTACAGCCCGTGCTAGGAAAATGAGCGCCTCCAAGAGCGTGAACGATCTAGCCTACATGGTCAGCCACGGCCAACAGCAGCAGCTGTGCTTGGACAGCGATGCCGTGCAGCAAGCCAAGGCGGCTGACTTTACCTCGGATCCCAACTTGGCGGCCAGTGCACAAGATAAGCCGCTGAAAGTCAAAACCAGCAAAAGGCACAAGGATCCAGAGCGTCGCAAAAGCCTTATACAATCGCTGTCCAACTTCTTTCACAAGAGCAACACCCACTCGACAACGGTCTCGGCTTCCAGCAGTCCAAAGGAAATGGGCGGCACTGTAGCTGCCAGCCACTCTGAGCATGCAGAGCGTCCGGGCACAAGCAGCAGCGGCACGCCCACGATCTCCGACGGAGGCAGCGGCGGTGGTGGCGGCGGCGTCTTCAGTCGCTTCCGCATCTCGCCCAAGTCGAAAGAGAAGTCTAAGGTAAGTCAAATCAAAATGTTTCACATCACATCAAGCTAAATGTGATTAATTGTTGTTCGAGTCCAAAAAAAATGCATAAAGTAATTGTACTACATTTAAAATCTTGCCGTGACTCATCATTTTGAAGCTTTATAGCTATAAGATCTTGGCTGTTAAATACTATTGGTGTGCGGTGTACTATTTATGTCCTTCATTTATAAACTAAACTTTTATCAACATTTTGCAGTCTTGCTTTGATCTGAGGAATTTCGGTTTTGGTGTAAGAACATTTTTACATACCTAATACTATATAGCACCATTGTCATTTATCTCGAAATTATCATTCATTAGTATTTGATTAAACGTTTGGCATGAGTTTTATATGTATTTTAATTTCAGCACCTTAATTATTTTACACACGTATTAACTAAAACCCATACTATGTGCAATTATCAAGTTTTTAACTGTTGAAAACTAGAAACTGAGTTCAGTTCAGATCGGATTCATTTCTGATCTAGTCGACATTTGAGTAATATGTTAAATTTCTCCGCAAGGGTATTCATTCGTTTTCCATTTCCTCATATTTTTGTGTCAACTTATTTGGAAATAATTTGTGACATTTCATATTTCGTAATAATATTGACCAAGGTTCATTTAAATGGCTTTCTTATTATGCATCATTTTTTATTTTATTTACTAACTATGCTTGAAAGCATTTTATATTTATTTTTTTATTCGTTTTCTTTTCACAATTGCAGCTGAAAATATTTAAGTCGTAATTTAAGTTTGCCTGATACCCTTTAAATTGATTCGTTTTTTTAGTATATATATTTTTTTATTTTGGGTTTTACACATATTGCTGTGTAGGCTGAGATAATTATATTTATATTTTTGACTAAGGATTAAAATGGTTACTATTACGTTTTATTTTTGTTAAGTTTTTGGTTAATTAAAATCAGTTTTATTATTTTCCGATTAGTTTTTAAGAATTGTTTAATGGTTTAGTCTTAGTTATACGGAAGATATTTGGGTCGTTGAAAGCTTTTTCATTTTTATAAATATTTAGCTTAAGTTCATGTTGCATGAATTGGTTTTTGGACTTTTGGTGTGGCCCTCTTGGTTACGGTACATATTCCAATTGAGCTCTCCCTGAATACTGAAGCACGCTTGTTTTATAATTTAGTTGTTAATAACATCATAATTGTTTCTTAACTGAAAACTGAAACTTGTTTTATTCTTGGAATGTTTCTTTTTCGCCATGGCTGCAAACCCAAAATATACAACACACACATTTAATTTTTAACTAAATACATTTCAATGCAACACAAAATTAGGACAAGGATATGATCACAAACAACGCAACATTGCCAACAAGCACAACACAAACGAAACAATCCCAAGATTACCTCAACACAACGAACAACAGTCGCTACCGAAAGCAAACGAACACCGAATCGTTCTCATCGTCCAGCCCGCAGCTCTATATACACAAGCCCCATCATCTGGCCGCAGCGAATGCCCTGGATGACCAGACTCCGCCACCCATACCGCCTTTGCCACTGAATTATCAAAGATCTGATGGTTTGTTGCTCTCACTTTACGTTGACATTTCCTAACTCCTTGTCTATCTGTCCACGTGATAAGATTTAAGAACGAATAACTGTTTGTGTATATTTATATATCCTATTTAGATGAGAGCAACGCTAACGAGACACGAGAGCATAAGAAGCAACGTGCCATATCGAAGGCTTCACGACAAGCTGAACTCAAGCGATTGCGAATCGCTCAAGAAATACAGCGCGAACAGGAGGAGATCGAGGTGCAATTAAAGGAACTGGAGGCACGAGGCGTGCTCATTGAGAAGGCCCTGCGGGGCGAGGCGCACAACTATGAAAAGTGAGTGTAGCAGTAAGACCCAAGTTTAAAGATTATGTCTACAATAAAAACAATTTTTTTTTTTAAGTTTGGATACGAGTAAGGACAATGACGAGAAGCTTTTAAAGGAACTTTTGGAAATTTGGCGCAATATCACAGCACTGAAGTGAGTATGGATTAATCCATGCAAATCCTCCAGGGAATCGTCTAACAAAGAACATGTTTATATAGAAAACGTGATGAAGAACTGACTATAAGGCAACAGGAACTACAACTTGAATATCGACATGCGCAGCTAAAAGAGGAGCTTAATTTACGCTTGTCTTGCAATAGTAAGTTCCAAGCTAAATTTCCAAACTGCATTTAGTTAATATATGTGAATTGTTTATAGAACTGGACAAGAGCTCCGCAGATGTGGCCGCTGAGGGTGCAATACTCAATGAGATGCTGGAAATTGTGGCTAAGCGTGCGGCATTACGACCAACTGCCTCACAGGTGGACCTATCTGCAGCGGGAACTGCTTCAATGGAAGCGGGTATTACACTAACCGGAGAATCCCACGAACAGGGAGAATCGAATGCAAGTCTTAAGACACCCGGGCCCATTTCCAAGCAAACTAAACGAATTATTTAATACACTTACAGATTTGAATTTTAAACTTGCCTTGGGGCTTACTGGCTTACGAGTTCTGGCAAGGATTTTTACGCCTAAATACTTAAGCAGAATGTACCAAAAAGCAAAAACTATAACTATAACTATAACAAAAAAAATATAACGATGCTAAAAAACATGAGCTGTACGATAAACGAGCAAAATAAACACCGAGTGAACACTTTGGTGGAATAGTTTATAAAAACCTAGGATGGTCGCTGAAGATATTTTTCAAGAAACGCGCAACATTATTGTATAAAAAAACAAAAACAAAAACAAATTAATTAATCAAAACGTAATCAAATTTTATGTTCAGTTAGTTTCGAGCATATTATACACAAAAATTTTAGTCATTCAATTTGTTGCAGCCCTACAAAACAATTTGATGTACTGTCTGATCTTTGTATGTTGTATCATGTTGTGTAATAAGTTAACTGTGTTACGTAAAAATGTATGTGCAAATTGTTTGTCATTTGTTCAATTATAAATGGTGTATTTGTGTCGACTTGATTAGCATATTTTAATTTGTATGTGCGCGCCTATTTTTCAACATATTAGTCTACTTTTCATTTGTTTGAACCGTGAGCGTCACTTATTTTTGCATGTAATATGCTGCCCAAACTAAATCAAAGTGAACACAAAGATTTACACACAAATATTTTCTATACATATTTATATTCATATGTATAATACGAGCGTATATATAAATATATTGAAGAGCAAAGCAAACATATATTGTATACTACAAATGATTTAAATTATTATGTAATATTATTTATATTCTTTAACCAACATATTTATCGAATTTATTATGTAATTTTTTGATTTATTTAAAACAATAAAGATTTTATGAATTGTGAGTAACGGACTCATTTAATTAAACCAACACAGTTCTGCACAGTGTGGCAGCTCCACTATCGCATTCACAATCGATAAATTGATCGATTATTCTCGTGAGGGCATGAAAATGCAAATACCCATCTCTATTAAGAAACATAAAAATCCAATAATCGCGGTTTTGCTACATTTATTAATAGAAATCAACTTTAAAAGTAGCTGTTGTCGTTAGTATAAACTGTAATCTTTTTCTTAAATTGGACAAAAATGCCTGAAGAAAGGCTAAGCAAGAATTCTGTTGTACCCGAGGGGTCAATTCCAAAAACAGCAAGCAACTCAAACTCGCAGAATAAAAAACAGACACCCTTTGCGTCTGCGCAGCTATCCGCGGATGCAGAGATGGAAGATGAACCGGCAGGCCAGCCCGCGGCTTACAGTATGCGACCAGCATTTGGGGAATCTTTTCCGTTGCCAATCGTAAAAAGCATCATAAACAGCGTAATGGCTGAAAAACTTAAGGGTGAGTGTGTACAAATCGAACAGCGTCAAAAGACAAACAAGTGTCGCTAAGCAACCCATAACATTGCAGACAAAATATACGACAAGGACGTTGCCAAAATCTGGGCGCGTGAAATAGCCGACGAAGTGAATCAACAGATTGCTGCGAGTCCCAAAGTCAAGCGTTATAAGCACGTAGTGCAGGTGATGATGGGCCAGGAGCTGGGCGCCGGTGCCACCTACTTATCCCGCTGCTGTTGGGATTGTGACTGCGACACGTCCGTTACGGAGGTGTTTAGTAATACGAGCCTGTTTTGCGTGTGCACCGTATTCGGAACGTATCAGTACTGAAGTGGAGCTGGGCAAACAACAGGTAAGCAGTGAGCTTGGTTTAATCATATGCTAAATGGCCTAATTTATAGGATTCTTTTCATTACAGCAATTTATAAATACCAAAGCTGGCAGCTGGATCCATATGCGAAGGTAGCTTCTTAATTATATTATATAATATAATCTTTGACTAGTTACATTGGCGCAAGAAAGAGGTGGAGATGGCCATTAAGTTTAATCACCTTCTGGCACCTTGCTATTTCGGTTATTTGCCATAAATTTAGATATGTTATAGTTATCCAAGCGCTTGCTTACGTACATACACGTAGACAATTTTATTTATAACAAACGCACAGACATTAGCACACAACAATTGTGTTTAGAAAAAGTGAGAATCATTTATAAAAGAAAACAATTGCATTATTTACATTGAAATTGTACAACTTTGCATGTATGTATGTTAGGCAGGCACCAGGAAGCGAACATTGCTCCCAACTTCACTTTCAATGCTGTCCATTCGTTGACCTTCGTTGTGCACCAGTGCCTGCGGCTCATTGTATGCGCACATTGAGCGGGTTGAGTATGCGGCCCGACATTACCGCCACGTCTAAGTCACGATCGATGATGAAAAACAGAAACGGATGATTAACAGAGATCTGTATAGGCTTCGTTTGGGCGCCAGAGTTGCCTGAGCAAAAAGGAAATAGTTATTGCACATTTTTATTACTGCTGCTGCTGCTGCAATCGAAGTTGCAGGTGGGGCTGGCTAACACCTCGATCTCTATCTTTAATGCGTTGCGCTTCAATGCGTCGGGGTGTGCTGCAATGCTGCAATACAGCAGCTACTTACGTTTAAGTTGATGGATGGGATGCGTTCGAATGTTGACATCAATCGATTGCTCAATGTGTCGCACATAGACGCCTTTCTCATCAGTCATGGGTCGAAAATCGGCGCGATTCGGCTCGAATATATCACAGCTGCAATGAGAAAGAATTATGCAGACAGTAAAAGTCCGAGCCCAAATGATCCATAAAAGCGGCGCAGTCTGCTTACATGCCCATCTGCAAGACAACAAGTGAAGCAAATGAATAATCTGTTTAAGGATCCTCCATAGTCGCTTACATTTTGCAGATCGTTGGTCAGGAACATGGTGCCGTGCAGCTTGAAGTCCGGAATGATAGCCTGCACCCAGCGTGGCTTTAGCTGTTTACGCATCAGACGCAGCGTTGGTCCTAACTTCAGCGAAGCGGCGGCAGCCACAATGTCCATGTGGTAATCAGGCAGCAGTATCATCAAATTATACTCTGGTGTATCCAGCTCCAGCTCCAGCACGCTCATCTTCAGATGCTCGAAGTATTTGTAATACAGCACCGCATTGTACACTTTGAAGGTGGTGTGCACAACCTGCTGGCTACCTAGATAAAACACATGGCTAATCACATCCGTATTGTAGTTCGTTTTGGTCTCCGCCCCTCCTTCGCTGATGTAATGCGGCTCAAAGTCGTTGGTAATGTGCGCAAAGGCAGCTGTCGGCGGTATGGGCAGAGGATGCGGTGGTCCATGCGGCGCATGTGGACTAAAGAGCGCCACAAAGAGATTAGCGTCCAGGTCCTTGTAGCCCAAAACGTGCCGCTTATGGCGGGACCCATTCGATTTGCGAGCATTTCTTGCCACCGGCGTTGCTGCAGTTGTGGACATTACTTGACGTACGCCGAACGTTGTCGTTGTCTTTCTTTGCATGGGCGCTGTCATTTGGCGCGCCATCATGGGCATAACGGCAATGCGTGCGCTGGGCAGATAGCTGGGCTTGGGCGTAATGGGATTGGAGTGCTTGAGCGGCGCCTGCAACTTGCTTGTGGGCAAACGTGAGACACGGGCCTTTTGTATGCGGAGAAACGGTTCGGCGTCCTCTTCAGCTACAAATGCGGACACCAGTTCTGCTGCCTCATCCTCGCCAGCAACTTCAGCTGTAGGCTCAGCAGCTTCGGCAGAGGTGGCAGATTCAGCTGCTTCAGTCGTGCTGGTTTCCGCTTCTGTTGTAGTTGTTGCCTCCTCCGTTGTGGTTGTGGTTGTTGGCGTTGTTGTTGGTATGATGGTGGTTACTTCAGTGCTTGTTGTTGTGCTGGGTAGCTCTGTTGTTGTTGTGTCGGTGTCACTGGGCGTACTGGTCTCAGCCTGCATGTCCTCAGCCGTTGCATTGCTGGCCATTGTGCTATTGGCCATATCTGCATTTTCTGTGACATTTGCTGGCGTGGAGGAAGCCATATCAACACTCAGATCGTAGCCATAAAACATAAGCACAGTCTCAAAGTCCTTGAGTACAGTTACATTGCTCCTGCTCAAGCTGAGGCCCTTGAGAGGATTATCGGAACCGAAGAAATATGTCTGGAAATAATTGAGTTACAACAAACAATGCCTATCAAAAGTATCCGTTAAACGACTATCAATTATTAATTCTATTCATGCCCAAAAAATTCGACCACTCATTGCAGATTGTTTGGATTGGATTAACGATTGGGGTCAATAAACCTTTGCGAGTGTTTTCAGTCACATTTCGAGCGTCGATAAGTTGATTTGGCCTGGGGCACAATTACATATGATCTATTGATATCAATATACATATATCTGACCCAGAGCGCTGCGACATGGTATGCTTTGTAATTTGTTTTATCAATCAAGTGTAATCCACGTTGGAGGGAATGTGGTGAAGTGGAGTAGAGACCCGAAAGTGTGTTTAACGATGCATATAAATTTCGGTTGGGGAAGCTATAAACTACTCATGGGGAAGGGCTCACCCGCAGCCGTCGGTGTATGTCGCGGTAACCAACACGTATGACGTCACGATTGTTGGGCAACTGCAGCACATTGCGCAGCTCTGAGGCGCTCCTGGCTGAGGAACCCTCATAAAGCGCCACCAGCACGCTGACCAGGGCGGTGGGCGAGAACGCAAAGTTATTTCGATTGAGTATGGAATGGTAGTGGAGCAGCCGATGGGTTAGATCGTTGGTCAGATCGACCATGACCTCGGCTGGTGTCAGCTGCCTGGCCAGCACCTGTGGCAGATGCTCCAGTTCCAGCGGCGTTAACGGCGCTGGTGGCAGCGGTGGATGGGGAAACCCACTGGCGCGAAACTCTTCGTGATCGATATGTATATAGTGGGCGTGGCAGGGCAACAACAGCAACAAGAGCCCGGCCAAGCGGCATAGCAGGCGTGTGGCAGAGGTCATGATGGGTCTGACCTTGCTCAAATTAATATAAATGCACATTGATAATCGCCTTAACTGTTTTTGTTTGATTTTTTTTTGTTATAATTCCCAGATGCAACTGAAGCATGAAGTCCGTTTAGCAAAAAATGTGGCAAATTCGGTGCGTGCTCATGAATTGCATTATTTTCGCCTCTAATTGGAAATGGTTAGCTCGAATTCAAGGTTCTGTAATTTTCCCAACTGTCAATCGTATCGCGTTTCACACATTTTCGCATCCAATTCGCTTCTTTTTTTTTTCAATTCCTATTTCAATTTTCGGAGCCGATTGTCCAACTGATTCCCGTGATTGCTGCCGGCAAACTGAAATTGTGGAACGTGAGGCACATGGCTCAAATATCAAATCCGATCGATGTGTTCGGCAGCTGTGACGCTTTCGCGTGATTGTTTCGGAATAACTTGAAGCAACCGATACGCAAGCCATGGCGAGTTTTAGTCTTCCCCCACTCTAAACGATATCATCTGCTCGGAGAGGCCTAAAGCATCCTGTTTAGCTAAGTTATGCTATGCTAAGGGTAGTTAACACTGTGGAAAATTGCCTTAATCGGATCATCTGACTGTTTTGCCATGTCAATCAAATAGTCTGCGTATCTTACGTTAGCTAACGTCACAACCAACAGCAAATGTCTGATTAAACAGTCTGTCAGTCCATATTTATTTTCCACTTGTCACACGATTATCGCAAGGCTTTTAAATGCATTTTACTAATTGATTTTATGCACTTCATTTCAGTCGCCTAAAGGTTGCCCAGTTTCAGTAAAAATGTCCTGGGGAAAGCACTTTGTCTACGCGTGGATAACTTATTTTTTAGCATTTTGTGGAATCGGTAGATTCTATTTTGATGTCCGTACTGGCAAAGTGATAAAATCGCGCTATTTGTGCTATTATAGTAGACTATTTATTCTTTTTATTTTAAGCACATTCCCAGTGATGATACATTTTTATGTGTTTAACCCTGCGTGGCTCCATACAGAATCCAAAATAATATTAGTCTGCATTATGTCATATCCTGCCATTCTGTTGATTTCAATATTGAGCTGCATGTTCTGTGTCGAACGCTGGCAGCTCAGGATAATCAGAATGATTGAGGATCTGCTGAAATTGGAGGATTTTAGCATCGGTTTGAACTATTGCGCCACACCAGCCGAGAAGTCATATCTACATCGGCTATTTTGGTTGAGATTTATATATATAATGCCACGAGCGGCTGTACTTCTTATACGGATTATCGACAAAAAGAACGAGGTTTACTTTTTTTTAAATTCGATCGTAACAAGAGTTATGAGGGATGGATTATATTTTCTAGTGTTTAGTCTCAATTGGCAGATATGCACCACATTCTTGAACCTGCAGCTGTACCTGGAGCATTTATATTTGGTTACCATGCCAATGGCAAGGAAAGTTAAAAAAATACGGGAACTACAACGGATGTACTATGGACTTATCCACATGATTAACGAGTTAAGCGTAATTTTCAAATATCCGATGTTTTGCTGCTTGCTTCAACTGATTTGCAATACCTGTTTGTGCGGATATCTATTAATTCGATATATCTTTGGAAAGCCCTCAAAGTCCATCGCTTCTAAAACTGATCCAATAATATTGATCCTATGCATCGTCGATGTATTGGAGTTCTACCTCCATGCCAGTATCGCTCATTTGACTGCTAAACTACATGATAGTACATTTCATATTCTATGCAACCCACACCCAAACTTAGATCTATTGGAGCGCAGTGTGAGTATCGGAAGCACTTGGGTAAAATTTAAAGTAATTTACAATATTTTAGAATGACTGGTTAGCCCTGCAGCTAACATGGCAGAACAAGAATGTCCACATCTTTGGAGTACTAACCATCAATCTGCGGCTAATATTTGGAGTTACTATCAGCATCGGACTACACATTATATACGTCTTACAGAGCGACTACGCCTACATGGCAGTATAAACCTACTTTGTAAACAAATCAACTTTTAATTTATATTAGAATTACAAAATTCCAACCATCTTAAGATATACTTGAGAAGGGGGTCATATTAAATTGTAGTTTGTAATTCTTCCTTTTACAAAAGCAAAGCAAAAGCGTAGAGGATTCTTTGATCGACATTAAAATGTACATTCAGATACATTATCCATTATGCATTTCTGAATACATTGGATATGGATGATGATAGAAATAGACTAAGAAATGCTTTAGACAATTTAGTATTAGACAGCCAATGTCAGTTAGATTGAGATAAGATTTCCCACGTGTCCTGTGTCCTGTCACAAGTCAGTGTAAGGCGTTTTATTAATTGATTTAATGCACTGCACTGCATTCACCTAGCGGCTTGCTAGTCGTGTTCAAAATGTCCAGGGGAAAGCACTTGCTCTACGCGTGGATAACATATCTCTTCGCATTTTGTGGAATCTCTGGATTCTACTTTGATATTCGCACGGGCAAATTGATAAAGTCACGTGTACTGTGCTATTATAGTAGACTACTCAGTTTATTTATTTTGAGCGGTTTCCCAACGATGATTAATATATATTGGATTAAAGCCCCGCCGTTTCTTACTCAATCCAAGCTTACATCCGTCTTAATAGTTGCTTATCCCGCTAGCACGTTGTTGACGGTATTGAGTTGTATTTTCTGTGTACATCGCTGGCAGCACAGGATATTCAAGTTGATGGAGGATCTGCTGAAAATGGAGGATCTTGCCATCGAACCCAACTGTTCCATCACACCATCTCAGCAGCCATATCTAAGACGGCTTTTCTGGATCAGATTCTTGCTACTTATGCCGCAAGATGTCATATTTATTCTACGGATGCTTATCGGACAGAATGGATTTTTCTTTTATTTTAGCGTTCTCGTAGCTAGAGTTATGAAAGGAGGAATATATTTCCTGCTATTTAATCTCATCTGGCAAATAAGTTATACATTAATGAAACTTCAGGTTTACCTAGACAATTTACTTGTTCGACCTATGCCAATGTCAAGGAAACAAACCAAACTATTGGAGTTACATCGGATGTACTATAGACTAGTCCAAATGATTGATGAGTTGTGCATAATCTTCAAATATCCGTTGGCTTGTTGTTTGCTCCAACTAACTTGCAATTCCTGTTTGAGTGGATATTCACTTTTTCGACTGATGTTTGGAAAGCCCATGAAATCTTTCACCCCTAAAACTGATTGGCTAATATTATTTTTAAGCGTCAGCGATGCATTGGAACTTTACATCCTGGCCAGCATAGCCAACACGGCTGGTGATCTTCATGATAGTACTTTTCACATTTTACGCTATCCTTACTTTGATTTGGATCTATTGGAACGCAGTGTATGTTCATCATTTCAATTTTGTTTCATTATTTTAATGATTTACCCATTTCAGAATGACTGGCTGGCTCTGCAGCTAATATGGCAAAATAAGAACATCCACATCTTTGGTGTACTAAATATTAATCTTCGCTTCGTTTTTATGTTTATAACTAGCATTGTACTTAATATTATATACATGATACAGAGCGACTACGGCTATTTATCAATATGAATTCCCCTCGAACACTACTAAAATCTTCGTTTCTGTGTTAATAATACTACAAGCACTCAAATTGAGTAGGTTTTTTTTATAGCTAAAGAGCCTCCTAGTTCAATTGTTTAACATGCTCTTAGCATATTAACGCACCAAAATGACCATTCGTGTAGCATTGAGTCCCAAGATCGTCAAGAAGCGCACCAGGCACTTCCCCCGTCACCAGTGGGATCGATATGCCAAGCGATCGCACAACGCACAAATACTACGGCGAGATTGACCACGGCGTCTCCTCGAAGGAACGCAGGCAGATTGTTGAGCGCGCCAAGCATCTCTCCGTGCGTCTGATGAGCCCCAACAGTCGTCTGCGTTCCCAGGGGAACGAATAAGCTTAAGTTTGGAATTCGCTTAAACGAGTTTTGTTTTTAAACGTATTCGGAGGTATAAGGTATATATAAGGTGCGCCAGCCCTTGTTCCCAGTTCAAAGCTTTAACCGCAACTATATTAGGTAGAAACAAGTAAGGGGCTTCAGTCGGGAGCTCCCGACTAGGGGATACCCTGAACCGTCTGCTTTCAAAACCAAATGTAGTTCACGTTACGCGTTCGCTTGCTAGTAGTAATAAAAATAAATTTAACAAAAAAAATATAGTTGTAAGCCGTAGACTAATATAGGAACTATTGAGTAGATCATGGCTAAGTCCGTATACCCTTAGACAGCCGAGTCATATAGCTATGTCCATTCGATTTACAGTATTCTGCTATTCGCCCTTTTGCTGCAGGAAGAAGGTATATCAAAGCCGAAGGTATAGGAGCCCCATATTATACAGTATCAAGATCACACCACTATATTATGTAGCTCTATAGGCAAAGGGATATTTTTTAATAGTATATCTTGATCCAACTAAACAATAACTGGCAAGAGTAGTCAACCTACGGAGTGCGTGTTCTCTGCTGATTCAGTTAGATTAAAAGAGCTGTCAGTTTCTATTTATTTATTTAATTCTTTTAAATGTCCCTTGCTAATGGACTTAATGTACTTCATTGAATTCACCTTAAGGTTCTTTAGTCGTGGTTGAAATGTCCTCGAGAAAACACGTCGTCTACGCATGGATTACATATATCTTAGCATTTTGTGGAATCGCTGCATTCTATGTTGATATCCACACGGGCAGAGTGATAAAATCGCGTATATTGTCCTATTACAGCCGTTTTTTTAGTCTGCTTATTTTGGGCATCACACCCAGGACGATATACACATATGCGATTAACACGCCGTTGAATCTAACTCAATACAAGCTTATGAATCTCTTGATTGCCACATATCCCTTCGTTATGTTGGCTTCAATTGTAAGTTGTATGTTCTGTGTACAACGCAGGCAGCGCAGGATCATCAAGTTGATTGAGGATCTGCTGAGAATGGAGGAGCTTAGCATCGAACGTAACTA